GCACAGGTCACACGTGGACCACAGGAAGCCCATTCYTTGTTTATTTATTTTTATCTCGAAGCCAGAACTGCCCAATACTATATTTATGTTTTGGACAGATCTACCAACCAGAGACATTATTGTCATTAACTTAGAATTTTCCTGACCTGGCCAAGATAAGTTAATACTCTGTCAAGTCTTCTCGTGAAAGATGGTACTTTAGAAGATGACCTTGAATATCATCTGTACATTCCCGTAGTTTTACAAAATTTACCTTCCCTCTAAACTCTCCACAATTTTTATCAGCATAAAAACAAACGCTCGCTATATTAAAACTTTTACTATTTTATAGAGCACAGGTCACACGTGGACCACAGGAAGCCCATTCTTTGTTCATTTATTTTTATCTCGAAGCCAGAACTGCCCAATACTATATTTATGTTTTGGACAGATCTACCAACCAGAGACATCATTATTATTAACTTAAAGTTTTCCTGACCTGGCCAAGATAAGTTGACACTACTACTCTTCCCAGTAGACCGAGGCAGTTGTGATTTTTTAATCGCCTTCGTAGCGTCTGTTATGTTATCCAGAAGTAAATTTCAAATCGACCACGTGATGCCAATGTTGTACCACGTGGACAAGTTTTTTACACCACGTGATCAAAATTCAGTCAAGTTTCAATTACGTGGTGCAAAAAACTTTTCCTCGTGGTACRACATTGGCATCACGTGGTCGATTTGAAATGTACTTGCGGATAACATAACCGACGCTACGAAGGCGATTAAAAAATCACAACTACCTCGGCCTACTGGGAAGAGTAATATGTCAAGTCTTCTCGTGAAAGATGGTACTTTATAAAATAACTGTTATGAATGTCGCGTTCTGATTGGTTTAGAGCGCGTGCTTTATGAGAGCATATTGCACGCGCGCRCACATTCCGTTGCGTGTAATTTGTTTTTTATAAAAGAAATAAAAAACTTGCTTGTTGTGCTGTGTGCAGTCAATAAAGCACTTGGCGATTGGCAAAACACTCGAGAAGTGTCGAGAAGCACTCCGCTACGCGTCGTGCTTCTACTAACACTTCTCTCGTGTTCTGCCAACCCCCGTGTGCTTTATGACAGCACACAGCACGCGCGCGCGTTTTCTATTTCTTCATTACAATTTGACCTTGAATATCATCTGTCCATTCCAGAAGTTTTACAAGATTTACCTTCCCCCTAGACTCTCCAAAATTTTTATCTGCATGAAAACAAACACTCAACATATTCAAACTTTTACTCTTCCGCATTGGTTTGACAGCTGAATCTAATTTTGCTGGTCAGCGGCATTCACTAATAGATTACTAGAAAAGAGTAACTACAAGATGAACTCAGGAAAATAACGAGGCAGTTTTTTTAAACTAT